CTATGTGCTTCGCGTACGGTGCCGCTCGCAAAACTACGGCTTGTGGAGCAAGTGGAGCCAGCCGTTGCTGATGAACATTCCTTCTCGGCCACAAGCAGGTACAGGTACGATGTCCCCACCGATGTGAGCGTCCATCTACAAGCAGCCGTGGTAGCAGGGAATGGGCATTATTGCATTTGTTCCCCAGGCCTTTCAACTTTGACTGTTTTCATAAAAGAGAATCTATTATGTTTCAGCCAATTATTATATTAAGTATTCGGGCTGATCATGCAAGGCCTTACAGAATGTTGTGTTTTATGAGGGTCAACCAGTTCAGGGTGTCCCCCGACTACTGCCCGTAAACAGCTGGGATAGGCTCCAGCCTGCCCGCGAACCTCGTGAGGATAAGCGGATTAGAAAATGGATGGATGGATGTTATTAGGTGAGAGGCAATATCAGCAAAGCATTTTGATATATATTTGAGCATAAACTAACAAGACTACAAAATGAAGACAGGAAACTGTTGGAAATAAGCTAATCGTTTAATAATTTAATTCGCCAAAATTAGAATTTAGGTTGTAAGTAAAAGTCTTTTGATTCTGATCTTGTTCACTTTGTTCCCTTCATTGAAGCAGACACACTCATCATGGTGATTCTGGTGACAACCATCAGCATGATGGCGATCTTGGCCTTCTCTGTGTGTGTCATTCCACAATGTGTGAGGTGAGAATTCACATTCCTTTTCTTCATGTGCAATGAAAAGCTCCCCTGTACCTTTCCCTTAAATCTGGCATCCTACTGTTTCACCATGCAGAGTGAAAAACTTCTTTTGGCCACCTATTCCAAAACCACGCATCATCGGCATTGACCCGCTGCTTTTGAAGGTAACGCAAGTTCCATCTTCTATGTGTCCTCTGTCTTCTGCTCACCACAGGTGGCTTACAAACTCACACTCTATATTTCAGTAAGTACGGTATATTTTAAAGTAAAAGTACTGAGTCGACTCATTTAAAAGGGCGAGGCGGGGGTTAGTGTTAAAACTGCTAGCAAGTCTCTGACGCCCCTCACTAAATGTGCATGAGCACGATTGTTACACATGGGCATACATAATGGCATGTGATGATGAAAATTTGTAGTTGTGGAAATAGTCACAGAGAGCACATATCTTGTATCCACAAATTAGCAGCGCTAGCAATAATAGGCTTGCGACATTGCGGCTGCTATGTTCCTTGCATGCTCATTCGGAATGCAGTGTTACCATGACCATAAATGCAATCGGTTTGGAGTTTTATTTTTTGGAATGTACAGTCAATTAAAGCTCAAAAGAGGTGATAAATGTGCCTCTCGGGCAGAAACGTTGCTAGCTTCGCATTGCTCCTGAATCGTCTCTGCTCTCTGAGCTCGATTTCCTCTGCTTCTGTATGCTAGTATTTTGCCCAGTTAGAAATCTAATTTGAGGCACAAGATGTAGCCAGAGATGGCTGATTTTTATTCACATGGTCATTTAATTGTCAGTGAATATACTGTAGATTATTGCAAAGTATTCCTCCTCCTGTGAGTCAGAGAGAGAGAGAAAGAAAGAATGAAAAAACATCACTGACATCTTGAGAGACTTTTTGATGTCCATTCAATTTGCTTCCCACTCTGCGTCCTCAGAAGGGGAACTTGGATGAAATCAACCGCCACCTGACTAATTTCCATGGCTTCGTAGCTCCCAGCTTCCTGGATACCGAGGTATGGGAGCAGGTGAGCCCTGACAACATCTATCTCGCCACGGCCAAAGACTGCCCCAATCCCACCAAGTCACCCAGCCAGGTGACGGATGCCTTCACCATCCCACACGACTTGGCACCCACCACAACTCTTCATCAACTCGTGAGCGAGCCTCCAACAGCATTCATGCCAAGCGCATACTGCATGTCTCCTCCTCAAGCCTTCTCGCCAACCCTGTGGCCAGAGAGCAATTACAGCATGACGGGACAGCCAAATGCACCGCCACCTGCCCTCTCTACTACCTGCCCCCCGCAGAACCTCTACAGCTGTGTGCAGCTCATGAACGACATAGATGGGCTGCAATTGGTGCCGTGCCTACCACCGGTCTATAGCGAGCTCCCGCCACTGCCCGAGTCTAAATTACATGCCAGCGTAAAGGAGGAAGATGAGGAGAAGCTGGCAGACGGCCAGGCCAAAAAGAAAGATGCTGCTTTAGCTAATGAGAGCTGAGCGGATCACAAGATGCGCAGAACCACAAACACAATTGGATTTGGTGGTTTAAAGGAACAAGTTAACTTCTTTCATCTCTTCTGCCATCAAGAGGTCCACAACAGTGGAGACAAGAAGACATTTGTTGTTGTTTTTGTGAATCATGCACCACTTGATTCTCAGAAAAAAAAAATCGGAATCAAATTCGGAAATGGAGTTTTGCGAGTCCCTGAAGCAGGAAGCCTGTTCCAACATGACATCAATTGGCATCTGGATCTTAATTGGAATCGGAAGGCTTCCAAAAGTCGGAAACTGATGACAGAAGTGAAACACCTCCCTCTCCCGTCCACAAAGGTGCAAAAGAGGGACCCTGCCCAGCTAGTAGATAACGTAATGATAGTTAATCTATTTTCATTTGTGATGTGTCATTGGGAAAATACCCCTCAGGTCTCTATCTCCCAGTCAACAAACATCATCGATGGGCCCTTAATGATTCACTAAGCGCCCCAGATTTCACATCCCTGTTCACAATGTGCTTGGTTTCATTGTAAACTATCAACCACGGTTCTTTGAAGGTTTTCAATGCTGAGTAACCAGATTGTGTTTTGTGTTAATGTGTTATGTAATACATTCTATTTCCAAAACATGTTTGTGGAGAGGAAGAAGAGATTGTACATAGTGCCTATCTGATATTATAATTATAATGGATGAGGAAAACTACAGTATGACTTTTCCCCTTTGGTGTGGGTCAGACAATCAACCAGCTCACCCATAAAGAGATCCTGCTGCTTTTGCTTCATCCAGAGCATGAGAAGAGTTGAGAGCAGTGGTAGGACAACTCATGGTTGCTTCAACATGACAACACAGCTGCTCACAATGCCCTCAACATCTGACAGTTCCTGGCTGAGAAGAACATCAGCCCTGCTGGACCAACCTCCCTTGTCTGTACTCACCCAACCCGGTGGTTTTTCCTCTTTCCCAAGCTCAAAGAGACCCGTTTTAAGACATGGATAACAGAGGTTCATGAAGGTGTGGTTGAGAAGGCTGGGAAAGTGTGTTAGACTCCAGGTGGATGACTTCCAAGGAGAACACTTGCAGTTTGGATTTGAAATGTACTGTCACTTTTGTAACACCTCAAACTGTATGTTGCGACTGCTTTTCTTTACACAGCATCTTTAGGCGGGCTTATTGTAAAGGGCAAATAAAGATGTGCCACCGTTATCAATGCGTACAGAAGTATTTGCCAACCATTAGATTGTGGCTGCATTTAGATTATAAATAACAGACAATGTGGTCAGCTGACTGACAAAGGCTGTGTTGTTCCTTTGCGACATGAGAAACTGCTCCCAGAAGGCAGATAAGAACTGACCAAATGAGAATTCTCGCTCAGCTTCTGTGTTAACCTACTTGTGGAAATGCATTTACCAGTAATGTTCCATGTAGCTTGAAAGGCCCGGTTCCCCAAACGAAACTCTCCACCTTTCATGATATGACTAAGTAAAGAAAAAAAGAATTGCTCGTCAGAAAGGGCAGATGGAGGGACAAAAAAATTCAAATTCTGACCTAAAACCATCAGGGAGGAAAAAGAGGTGAAATTTCACATCAAAAGGAGAAAAGATGAAAGAGGGTGGTTGCTAATGAAACAATTAGTCCTGTCAAGTGATTAAAAAAATTACGATTAATTAATTAGATCTGTAATTAATCAAAATCTATATTTTAATCTCATCTAAAATTACTGAGAAAACCCATATTTTCATTTTAAATTTGTTACATTATTGAGGCAGATCAAAAGACAAAAGAAAAAGTGGCATAAAGTATTTTATTGTTTTTCAGCAGACTTGGACGGATGCAGTCCTAGCCATTTACTTTCTGCTGTATTTGAGACTAGTCACAGTCCTACCTGCAACCTTTCGCTTCGACCACGAGGGGGAATATCACTGTTTTGTTTGTTTTTGTAAATCTCCAAAGAATTACAAAATAAAAATAAAATAGAACATTAGGTCCTTAAAAAGTGCTTAGGGTAACATATCAAAAACAGTAAGAACAATTTTCTGAGCAATACAAGTACTCAATACTGAACTTGCTTCAGACAATAAACAATAAATAAATCAGGCCCTTAAATCGCAGTGCTGTAAGTTAGAACTTCAGAAATAACACTGTTCATCATGACAAACTAAAAGTGATGAAATAAACATCAATCACTTCTAGTAGTCTACAGAGGACACATCAACTATGCCTCATACGTGGGGTGTTCTCGAGTTTAGTTTGCCGAAGAGCTTTGCTATGTATGGCTTGCTTGCTATATTGCTAACGCTTTCGGTGCTAACGTTAGCTGTGGCTGCACTCGCGACTAGGTGCTTTGCATTGATGTGGGAGTCTAAATTTGAGCTGCTTCGGTGGTTCGCAAACTCTTTCTTACAAATTAGGCACAACACTCTACCTTTATTGTCGTCATGGCGTTTTTGGAATGTAAATTTTCTATTCATTGTGCCGAGAACTCTCAGATCCTGGTCCATTTTCACCTCTCCACTCCTCACCGCTGCTTACTAACTAAGCCCGCCCAACTCCAATGGGAGCCTAACAGCTTCGGCTAAACAAGCCCCAAAATAATGGCAGCCAATCAATGTCCGTTTATTCCCACTTATTCAAGATTTTTTTTAAGGTTTAAAAGAATCAATTGTACATGTATTTTTGCTATTTGAGGGTGATCAGGACTGAGCCAGCCTGTGGACATTAGGTCTTTTGCTTTATTACCTCTCTTACAGTTGAGACCGAAGCTCCAGTCAACCTAACTTACCAGTTGATGGATCCAGGCGGGGACGAGATAGGTCATGACGTGCTGCTCTCTTGGACGTACCCGAGACCCTCAGACCTCAAATATGGCTGGATCACGCTGGTGTACGAGTTGCAGTACAGACAAGTCAGCGAGCCTGACAAATGGAAGGTAAACGAGAGATATAATGGAGAGATAGCAAAGTGCTCTTGGGGTTTCTAGCTGAGTTTTGTCCCCCGGCTTGCAGGTTAAGCAGTCACTGCGAGAGCCTGAAGTCAAGCTGCTCGGCCTTCCCATCAACGACTATGTGCTTCGCGTACGGTGCCGCTCGCAAAACTACGGCTTGTGGAGCAAGTGGAGCCAGCCGTTGCTGATGAACATTCCTTCTCGGGCACAAGCAGGTACAGGTACGATGTCCCCACCGATGTGAGCGTCCATCTACAAGCAGCCGTGGTAGCAGGGAATGGGCATTATTGCATTTGTTCCCCAGGCCTTTCAACTTTGACTGTTTTCATAAAAGAGAATCTATTATGTTTCAGCCAATTATTATATTAAGTATTCGGGCTGATCATGCAAGGCCTTACAGAATGTTGTGTTTTATGAGGGTCAACCAGTTCAGGGTGTCCCCCGACTACTGCCCGTAAACAGCTGGGATAGGCTCCAGCCTGCCCGCGAACCTCGTGAGGATAAGCGGATTAGAAAATGGATGGATGGATGTTATTAGGTGAGAGGCAATATCAGCAAAGCATTTTGATATATATTTGAGCATAAACTAACAAGACTACAAAATGAAGACAGGAAACTGTTGGAAATAAGCTAATCGTTTAATAATTTAATTCGCCAAAATTAGAATTTAGGTTGTAAGTAAAAGTCTTTTGATTCTGATCTTGTTCACTTTGTTCCCTTCATTGAAGCAGACACACTCATCATGGTGATTCTGGTGACAACCATCAGCATGATGGCGATCTTGGCCTTCTCTGTGTGTGTCATTCCACAATGTGTGAGGTGAGAATTCACATTCCTTTTCTTCATGTGCAATGAAAAGCTCCCCTGTACCTTTCCCTTAAATCTGGCATCCTACTGTTTCACCATGCAGAGTGAAAAACTTCTTTTGGCCACCTATTCCAAAACCACGCATCATCGGCATTGACCCGCTGCTTTTGAAGGTAACGCAAGTTCCATCTTCTATGTGTCCTCTGTCTTCTGCTCACCACAGGTGGCTTACAAACTCACACTCTATATTTCAGTAAGTACGGTATATTTTAAAGTAAAAGTACTGAGTCGACTCATTTAAAAGGGCGAGGCGGGGGTTAGTGTTAAAACTGCTAGCAAGTCTCTGACGCCCCTCACTAAATGTGCATGAGCACGATTGTTACACATGGGCATACATAATGGCATGTGATGATGAAAATTTGTAGTTGTGGAGCACATATCTTGTATCCACAAATTAGCAGCGCTAGCAATAATAGGCTTGCGACATTGCGGCTGCTATGTTCCTTGCATGCTCATTCGGAATGCAGTGTTACCATGACCATAAATGCAATCGGTTTGGAGTTTTATTTTTTGGAATGTACAGTCAATTAAAGCTCAAAAGAGGTGATAAATGTGCCTCTCGGGCAGAAACGTTGCTAGCTTCGCATTGCTCCTGAATCGTCTCTGCTCTCTGAGCTCGATTTCCTCTGCTTCTGTATGCTAGTATTTTGCCCAGTTAGAAATCTAATTTGAGGCACAAGATGTAGCCAGAGATGGCTGATTTTTATTCACATGGTCATTTAATTGTCAGTGAATATACTGTAGATCAGGGGTCCCCAACCTTTTTTGCCCCACGGACCGGTTAAAGTCAGACAATATTTTCAGGGACCGGCATTTAAGGTGTGGCGAATTAATACAACAAAATAATATGGTATGAGCTGCATGAAAACTGTGGTGTTTTCGAAATATAATAATAAACACAAGGAGCGTCTAATCTGGTCGCAACACTCTTATCGCTCTGGTAATGTTTAATGCCTTCAAAATACGATACAACGCAAATTCAAAGTGCATGAAAATGACGACTCACCACA